TTGGAAGGGAGCTCGGAGGTCATCTGGTCCAACCCCCTCTTGAGCAGGAGAGATCTTATATCATTCCAGTCTCTTTTTGAAAGGCTCCAGTGATGGAGCAACCACCACTTCTGGTAGCCAGCTGTTCCACTGGTTAACCGTCCTCATTGTTAGGAAGTTTTTCCTTAATTCCAGGTTGCTTCTCTCCTCGATTAGTTTCCATCCGTTGTTTCTTCTCTGGCCTTCTGGTGCTTTGAAAAATTGTCTTGTCTTTGTAGGAGCCCCTCAAATATTGGAAGACTGTTATCATGTCCTCCCCCTAGTCCTTCTTTTCATTTGACTAGACACGCCCAATTCCTGTAACTGTTCTTTGTATGTTTTAGCCTCCACCTCCCTAATAATTTTTGTTGTTCTTCTCTGCACTCTTTCTAGAGTCTCAACATCTTTTTTATATTGGAGTGACTAGAACTGGATGCGGTATTCCAGGTGTGGCCTTACTAAGAATTTATAAAGCGGTACTAATACTTCACGTGATCTTGATTCTGTCTGTCTATTGATGCAGATAATCCTTCTACTTCTTTTTACAGGCTAGACTTCTTAGGAATCATGTGGTCCAAACATGTTAAGGTAGGCCAGTGCAGTAAGAGCATAAGTGGAACATTCCTCCAATGGGATTTTCCCATGTATTTTATCAGGAAACATAGATAAGGCAGGCTAGAAAGGTCAGTGCCCTCCTAACCATACCCAAGCACTCCAAATTTGTTGGCGATGTCCATTTTGTTCTACGGGTTCATGGTGACCTAACCCTAACCCTAAGTGGAATTTTCCTCCAATGAGTTTTTCCCCTGCATTTTACCAGGAAACATAGATAGGGCAGCCTAGAAAAGTAAGTGCCCTCCTAACCATACCCAAGCATTCCGAATTTGTTGGCGATGTCCATTTTGCTCTATGAGTTCATGGTGACCTAACCCTAACCCTAAGTGGAATTTCCCTCCAATGGGATTTTCCCCTGCATTTTACCAGGAAACATAGATACGGCAGGCTAGAAAAGTCAGTGCCCTCCTAACCATATCCAAGCACCCCAAATTTGTTGGTGATGTCCATTTTGCTCTATGAGTTCATGGTGACCTAACCCTAACCCTAAGTGGAATTTCCCTCCAATGGGATTTTTCCCTGCATTTTACCAGGAAACATAAATAGGGCAGGCTAGAAAAGTCAGTGCCCTCCTAATCATACCCAAGCATTCTGAATTTGTTGGCAATCTCCATTTTGATCTACAAGTTCATGGTGACCTAACCCTAACCCTAAGTGGAATTTTCCTCCAATGGGATTCTCCCGTGTATTTTACCAGGAAACATAGATAGGGCAGTCTAGAAATGTCAGTGCCCTCCTAACCATACCCAAGCACTCCAAATTTGTTGGCGATGTCCATTTTGATCTACGAGTTCATGGTGACCTAACCCTAACCCTAAGTGGAATTTTCCTCCAATGGGATTCTCCCGTGTATTTTACCAGGAAACATAGATAGGGCAGCCTAGAAAAGTCAGTGCCCTCCTAACCATATCCAAGCACCCCAAATTTGTTGGTGATGTCCATTTTGCTCTATGAGTTCATGGTGACCTAACCCTAACCCTAAGTGGAATTTCCCTCCAATGGGATTTTTCCCTGCATTTTACCAGGAAACATAAATAGGGCAGGCTAGAAAAGTCAGTGCCCTCCTAATCATACCCAAGCATTCTGAATTTGTTGGCAATCTCCATTTTGATCTACAAGTTCATGGTGACCTAACCCTAACCCTAAGTGGAATTTTCCTCCAATGGGATTCTCCCGTGTATTTTACCAGGAAACATAGATAGGGCAGTCTAGAAATGTCAGTGCCCTCCTAACCATACCCAAGCACTCCAAATTTGTTGGCGATGTCCATTTTGCTCTACAAGTTCATGGTGACCTAACCCTAACCCTAAGTGGAATTTTCCTCCAATGGGATTTTCCACTGCATTTTACCAGGAAACATAGATACGGCAGGCTAGAAAAGTCAGTGCCCTCCTAACCATATCCAAGCACCCCAAATTTGTTGGCGATGTCCATTTTGCTCTATGAGTTCATGGTGACCTAACCCTAACCCTAAGTGGAATTTTCCTCCAATGGGATTTTCCACTGCATTTTACCAGGAAACATAGATACGGCAGGCTAGAAAAGTCAGTGCCCTCCTAACCATATCCAAGCACCCCAAATTTGTTGGCGATGTCCATTTTGCTCTATGAGTTCATGGTGACCTAACCCTAACCCTAAGTGGAATTTCCCTCCAATGGGATTTTCCCCTGCATTTTACCAGGAAACATAAATAGGGCAGGCTAGAAAAGTCAGTGCCCTCCTAATCATACCCAAGCATTCTGAATTTGTTGGCAATGTCCATTTTGATCTACGAGTTCATGGTGACCTAACCCTAACCCTAAGTGGAATTTTCCTCCAATGGGATTCTCCCGTGTATTTTACCAGGAAACATAGATAGGGCAGCCTAGAAAAGTCAGTGCCCTCCTAACCATTCCCAAGCACCCCAAATTTGTTGGTGATGTCCATTTTGCTCTCCAAGTTCATGGTGACCTAACCCTAACCCTAATAGACTGAAAGCAGCTATCACATCTGAGCTATCTGATCACCTTGAAATGGTGAGAGCTTCTGGTTAACAATTCAGCTCTGATGCTTGGGTAAGATGAACCCCCTTTTTGAGTGAGTGGCAGAATTAATTAACTGGGTGGCTTGCAGGTGTAAACACTTCACTATATCTCTAGCTCACTGGTTTTATATTGATAGATAGAGAGATAGGGTAGGAAAAAACTCAACTGAAAACAACAAGACATCAGACAATCATTTTGTTACAGCTAGCTGGAGTCTCCCTTAAGAGCTAACAATGCAAAGAATTGGTCAACCAAGTTCTTCAGAGAAGTTCTAGAGATTGAACATTGGCAAGCAACCTTTAGATATTGCCTAGAGACAGACAAAACTGTTTCTGTTTACAGCCAATATACACCCGAATAACAGTAGAATGGAATAGCAGAGTGGGAAGGGACCCTGGAGGTCTTCTAGTCCAACCACCTGCTCAACAGGAAACCCTATATCATTTTAGACAAATGACTGTCCGCTCTCTTCTTAAAAGCCTCCAGTGCTGGGGCACCCACAACTTCTAGTGGCAAGCTGTTCCATTGGTTAATTGTTCTTATTGTCAAAAAATTTCTCCTTAATTCTAGGTCATTGATACAGAAGTCAATATATTTTATTTCCCTCCACTCAGCCAGGATCAGCCGGGGGGTGGGGGGTGGGGGGGAGGATTGGAAATGTGAGTTAAACTTCTTATTGTATTGCCTGCCCAAAATTGTTGGCTAATCCACACAACAGGCTTAATTGCTCAGAGTTCAGAGAAATTTCAAGCATGTTGAAATTCCAAAGAAGGCTGCCAAGCTTAGTCAGATATTAATCAGAAGCCTATCTGGAAAAAATGTGACTTGTGAGCTGGTCAAGTCCTAGTTAGCTCAGCTTAGTTCTGAACTCTGTTGTCCCAGGGACATGTCCCATGGGTAACTGGGTTTGGCTTCTTCTTCCGGAGAAGATCCTTGGGAAAACAGCTGATGTCACTGTTACACAAACACTAAGCAAAGGCCTTCCAAAATTCACAGCTGTGTTTCCTGCTTTGAACAGCCTTCCCGTGTCCCAGTCCACATTCCCCAGATAGGCATCAAGAGTAGTGACATTCACGTTTACACCGAAATGAATCTTCCTGCTTTCCCTCACTAGCACCAGAGCGAGCCCCTTAAGGAGACCTCTCACCCCAATGTGAAATATATATATATATATATATATATATATATATATATATATATATATATATATATATATATATATTTAAAAAAGCTGTTTGATTTAAAGAGAGGGACTGCCCTTGATTTTCTGGAAGTAGAACATGACATTGTGGAAGAAAGATAAATCCGTCTATTGAAGCATTTGCTGAAATAACAATAACAATAGGAAGAAGAAGAAGAAGAAGAAGAAGAAGAAGAAGAAGAAGAAGAAGAAGAAGAAGAAGAAGAAGAAGAAGAAGAAGAAGAAGAAGAAGAAGAAGAAGAAGAAGAAGAAGAAGAAGGGGAGGAGGAGGAGGAGGAGGAGGAGGTTTTTGGAAGAGACCTTGGAGGTCATCTAGTCCAACTCCCTGCTCAGGCAGGAAACCCTATACCATTTCAGACAATTGGTGGTCCAATCCTTCAGAGCATTGCCTCCACACTTATTTCAGATGCTACAATCCTAGGGAACTGACAAAAGAACTAGAGAGATAAAGACTACCCCAAAATCACACACACCCCCACACACAAAAACCGGACCACATCTCAACAACCAAATAACCCAAAACCAAACCATGATTCAGAGGCAACCAAATGAACAAACCCCATTTGCATCGCACAGACGATATTTAAACACAAAGGGCCATGGCCCAGCAACAACAAACAGCCAATCAGACATGACGAGTAGATGTCAATCCCCAGCCATTCAATTCCAGGAATTGAAATCCACCCATCTTGAAGTGGTGGCGTTCGAGAAAGACTGGAAGAGTCTACAGTCTTGGAATTTTTGGTAGCAATCCCTCCGCGCATCCAGCAAGGACGAATCCTGTCTGTCTTTCCTGAGATCAGACCAGCTTACTGGCTGATCTCAAGAAATCCAGACAGAATTTGTTTGGTTTTCTTGAGATCAGCAAGAAGTCACCCACGGAATTTTCTTTTGCAGAAACCATGTGTGACTGGCCAACCACCATACCAATATTAACTTGGTTATCGTGAACATTGCCAGAGATTTTATCCCTAAACTTGTTTAGCAAGTCCTTTAACCTTCTGATAACCAGCCTGTTACTCACTGTACCGTGTGGGAGCTATGATCAAGATGCATATTAATGACTCATGCAATACAACCCTCTTCCCACCCCCCCACCCCCCACACAGACCAACACCCACACACCCACACTGGAGATTGTAGTTTCCCAGATAAATCTCCCTGACATGCCAAAACTCTCTTTTGCCCACAAAAGCATCTGTATTACTTAAAGCTTCTCTAATACCCTAATCAGGGTATTAACCAGTAGGATTTTGAGGCTGGTTGGGAAATCAACTTGCAAGGCTTAGGACGGGTTTTCCAGACATCTTTCAAGGAACTGATCAGCAAATCAATCAGCTGAGTCAAACAAAAATAGCAGACTGTACAACCCGTGGAAATATTTCTGAAGGTCAGAAAAGGTGAGGATTAATCACAAGCCGTTTCTTTGGGTTCGCAAATTTGGGAGAAGGCAGTTCCTCTGGATTTGTTAAATGGATCCACCGTTCCCCCCCCACCTCTCAAAGTCCATGCCAACCACTTCCCAGAAGTTAGTATTTCCTAATTCTTCCATAAACAGGCAGCGCCAATTTGCTTCGACTCCAGAGAGGGCTGGAATCTGGATTTGACAGCTTGCCACCGTTTCTACGACGAAATTGCAAGCCGCTGAACTGTGTCACCGGAAAACAGATCTGTGGTGAAGAAAACCTCGGATGAAGGTAGGACGGTATTTATTGTTAGAAACAAACTAAGCGAAGCTTTTTTAGAGGTGATTTCAACATGGTGTTTGTTTTTTTTCCTGGCTTGAAAATATCTTTTGAACAGAAGAGAAAGGCATTCTAGCTGCTGAGAACCTTGTGTTTTCAGCGACTGACTTTCGTAGTGAGTTTCCTACAAGCTTGTTTGTAAAAGGTGCTGGTTTGGGAGGAAAGTTGTGGAAAAGAGATTAAGAAAAAGGACAGATCCGATATTCTTATATTTCCCATCCGTATTTAAGAGTTCGAGTTTATCATGATGATTAGAACTTTGATTTTGAAGAGAAACTGTAATGCTTAGTAAGCCGGTGAAGTTCAGAAGGCTAATCTGCAAATGCAATCATTCATATTTTATAGAACAGAACAGAACAGAATAGAATAGAATTCTATTCTATTCTTCTCTATTCTATTCTACTCTATTCTGTTCTATTCTCTATTCTTTTCTGCTCTATTCTGTTCTAAATTATTCTATTCTATTCTACTTACTCTACTCTACTCTACTTTAATTCTATTCTATTCTATTCTACTTACTCTACTCTACTCTACTCTACTTTAATTCTATTCTATTCTATTCTATTCTATTCTATGATTAGGGGACTGGAGGCTAAAGCATATAAGGAACGGCTGCTGGAATTGGATAGGTCTAGTTTAATGAAGCGAAGGACGAGGGGGGACATGATAGCAGTCTTCCAATATCTCAGGGGCTGCCACAAAGAAGAGGGAGTCAAGCTATTTTCAAAGGCGCCTGAAGGCAGAACAAGAAGCAATGGGTGGAAACTCATCAAGGAGAAAAACAACCTAGAACTAAGGAGAAACTTCCTGACAGTTAGAACAATTAACCAGTGGAACGACTTGCCTCCAGAAGCGATGAATGCGCCAACACTGGAAGTGTTTAAGAAGAGACTGGACAGCCATTTGTTTGAAATGGTATAGACTAGGGTTTCCTGCTTGAGCAGGGGGTTGGACTAGATGACCTCCAAGGTCCCTTCCAACTTTACTACTACTACTACTACTATTGTTATTATTATTATTCTATTATTTTATTCTATTCTTTTCTCCTATCCTATCCTATCCTATCCTATCCTATCCTATCCTATCCTATCCTATCCTATCCTAAATGCTCAAGATTACTATTAAAAAGTGACTCCTGTGTCATTCCTTTTTGCTCTGCTAGCCCACCGCTTCGCTCTAATCCCTCCAGGGTCTGACTTGGTCCAACATGCTCCTTCTGCTGCTGCTCACTCCCAGCTTGGTCCTTTGTGACACCAACATCACCGTGGTATGGGAAGACGCACCGTCTACCATCAGCCCTCTTGTAGACATGCAGAACAAAATTAACGATCTGTGGCTGAGTTTGCTGTACCCCCAGCTGTACGATGACATCTTCAAAGCCAACCGGACCGCCTACGCTTGCTGCGCGGTCAAGCCCAGTAGCAAATTAGAGGCAGAGAAACCTCAGGTGACGGGTTCGGTTTTGTTCAAGCAGGGCTACCCCCATGGAAAGCTGGAGGTCATCTTCTACCTGGACGGCTTTCCTGCGAACTCATCGGCCAGGGCCATTCACGTCCACCAGTACGGTGACCTCAGCGACGGCTGCGATTCGGCCGGAAGTCACTACAACCCTTGGAAAGTCAACCACCCTCACCATCCGGGGGATTTTGGAAACTTTGAGCCTCAAGAGGGCAAGGTTCGAAGATTGAAATTGAACCTCAAAGCCACCCTCTTTGGACCCCAGACAATTCTAGGAAGATCGGTTGTGATCCACGAGCAGAAAGACGACCTCGGGAAGGGCGGCAACAAAGGCAGCCTGGAGCACGGGAACGCTGGCCTGCGCCTAGCGTGTTGCGTCATCGGCACCTGTAAGGAGAACCTGTGGGACCAGCATTGGCCTAAAGTCCCCGTCAAAAGGAAGAGGAGGGTTATAAAACCTTGAGCGTGGCTGGCATCCCGAAGGCCGATCCACGGAGTTTTGTCTCTGCTAAGCTAATTACGACAACGGCATCTCTTCCGAAAATGTTAAAAGCGGCCCTTCTCCTTTAGTGAATCCTTCACTCTATAAGCAAGTTAATAATAAAGAAGAGCAGTGCTAGCCTGTCAAAGTTGATATTTGTGCTTTGTTTTTGAGGTGGGAGAGCTTTAAGAGTTAGGTGTTAGGTGTTAAAAGAACGCGCTTATGTTTCGGTATAGAAACCTTACACAATCCTGTTTTTAGGGTGCCGTATCTCTTGAAAGCATCCCAAGAGTTATCAGTGCCGCTGGAAGAAGAAAAGGGGAAATAAAATAAAAGTCTTTGACTAAGGTGATCAGCTCTATTTCCCTGCATTCCAGGAATGCACAAATAGGTTTATCTCTCTCTCCCCGTCTTTTCTCCTTTGACAAAGATGGCTGGACCAGACTGATAACGGCTTGTGCCAAAGCGTGTCGGAACGGAGTATGTACATGATTTGTATTTTAAACCTTCGGATCTGTTATTTTATCCTGCTTCTACAGGTTCGGTTTTGGCTTCTTTCCTCTTTTTTTTTTAATCTTCTTAACTTGTTTGAGTTATCCGCAATCCGATAGCTGTCTCACATTTGAAACTAGGCTTTTACAAGCATAATCTTGGATTTTAGCAGGGTGTCAAGAATAAAATACAATAAAATAAAAGCCCCAACGAGACTGTTTGGAAAGCTTGCAATAGGGGACTCGTCCAGTCAACCTGGGCAAGGTTGATTACACAACAGAAATAAGTACTTTTTTTTTCTTCTTCATACGGTCCTCCAGAAACACATTCGAGTACGCAGCTACAGCTGGGAGCGAATAGCATTTTTCATTTCAAAGTTGCTCTGCTTTTTCCCGTTTCCCTGGTTTTTCGGAAAAGCTCACACTAGGTCAGGCGCTCTCCATTTAAGTCGATGGATTTGGGTCCATTAAAAAAATGAACAATGCAAATAAGTGGGGATATTTGGGGAATGAAGGCTGGCAGGACTTACGCCTGTGTTTATTCACTTGAAAACAACGGCAACCAGTCGTTCGGAATGGATAAACTGAAATTAACTATTTCACCCTCTCTCCCAACCCCCACACCCCTCCCTGGAGTATCCTGGTGTGATGCTCACATTTTGTAGAAGAAAAACTGGCAGAGCCAGGGGGAGGAGTGAAAAGGGGGATCAGCCTAGCATCACTACGTAGCCACAAACAAATTAAGTCCGATCTGTCTTAACCGCCATTGACCCTTATTTAGCTCTAACCAAGTGCCAAGCATTAGTTGAGAAATTCCTAGGCGTAATTTTTTAGTAATAAATCAAGTATACCACATGTGAATCCGGGTCTTTCATGCCCGACCCATTTTCATTTCTTGTTAGTGAACTGTTAGATGTCCAAATTTGGCACACTATATGAGGATTCTTGCAAAGCATCGTCACACAGCTACAACAGCTCAGTTAGTGACAGTTTGAAGTTACGACGGCACTGAAAAAAGGGACTTATGACCATTGTTCACACCGACGGCCATTGCAGCATCTGCAGGGTCACGTGATCAAGATTCAGACACTGGACAACTGACTCATATTTATGACGGTCGCAGTGTCCCGGAGTCATGTGATTATTTTTTGTCACCTCAGACAAGCTAAGTCAATGTGGGAAGCTGGATTCACTTAACCACCCTGTTACTAAACAACTGCAGATTCGCTTCAGAACATGTGTGTATATATGTATATGTATATATATATATATATATGTATGTGTGTGTATATGTATACGTATATATATGTATATGTATATATATGTATATATATATATGTGCATGTATATGTGTGTGTGTGTATATGTATGTGTATGTATGTGTATATATATGTGTGTATATGTGTGTGTGTGTGTGTGTGTGTGTGTGTGTGTGTGTCCCTAATTACTATAAAAATACAAATACCAGACATATTTGTGCAATAATGGAAAATCCTCAAAGTCTGGGAAGGTTATAAATCAGCTGTTTATTGTTAAAAAGGAACTAAAACAATAAAAGCAACTATTTACAATATTAAATAAACAGCTGATTTATAACCTTCCCAGAGTTTGAGGATTTTCCATTATTGCACATAGATAGATAGATAGATAGATAGATAGATAGATAGATAAATATAGATGTATAGATAGATAGATAGATAGATAGATAGATAGATAGATAGATAGATAGATGTATAGATAGATAGATAGATAGATAGATAGATAGATAGATAGATAGATTATATATAGAGATAGAGATATATAGAGAGAAATCAAAAATAATTTTATGAAAAGTGCAAAAATAATTTCATTGGAAGTTTATTTTGGTAGAACAGGACATTCCTGAATACATCCCAAACCCTTACAAAAGATGACCCCCTGTAACTTCAGCAAAGAGCATACGGTGTCCCACAAATCCAAGCTCCTCACTGCAGGATTACAAATATAGTTGAAAGTAGTTTCAAATACTTTATTGTTTAACACAAGCATCACATCTTCCAAGCACAGCCCAGCTGCAACAGTTTGTACAATTCAAAACATAATAGAGTCCTAAAGATAAAATATATAAAAATATCATCCAATAGTTTAAGGATAAAAAGTCACATTTTTATCATTGTAAAAATTATGAAAGCGATGATAAAATAGCATGATGGGTTAAATAGTTCACAAATTTAAAATGACATTTTTGATAAAAAGGTGAGGTGTAAAAGAAACAACAGTTGTCATACAAAGATTTCTCTCAGGAGAAAGAAAACGCAACTTCAGTGTTCAAATACATGAATATCACAACAGGTATCTCTTGGTGAAGAGATGGTGATAAGAACAGATACAAAAAGGATACATAAAAACAGGCAAAAGATAAAATATCTTGTTTACCATAAGCATCACAACTACTTAACAACAGTAAATCAGGAGTAAAACTCAGCTTTATTACAAAAAATACACGTCAAACAGAATGTTACCAAGTCTGAATCCCATTTACAGATATTTCAGAAACAAAAAGATAAATGTGTGTGGTAGAAGAAATCAAAATTATTGAGGTGACAGCCACGTACTGTGTGTCATGGTTATTCACCAGTCAAAACATAACTTATACATTTTAAACAACAGCCAAGGATAAAATTATTCCCAGGCAGAAAAATAGAAACCTTTTTAAAAATCACTGGCCACACACTAATCATTTACAAGGGCCACTGAAATTTTCTTTCTGGTTCTAAGAACCACTGTCATGGCTAAATTTACACCAGGCAGAAAGCTATAAAATCTATTACCAAGCACTGGCCACACACTGGTCATTTAGCAGGGCCAATGAGGTTTTCTTTCTGGTTCTATGAACCATCGCCAGGGCTAAATTTACACCAAGCAGAAAACTATAAAATCTATTACCAAACACTGTCATTTAAAAGGGCCAGTGAGGTTTTCTTTCTGGTTCTAAGAACCACTGCCATGGCTAAATTTACGCCAGGCAGAAAACTATAAAATCTGTATGATTGTATTATTTTATAGTTTTATTGTTAGATTATTGTTTTAATTTTGTACGCCGCCCTGAGTCCCTTGGGATTGGACGGCATATAAATAAAATTAAATAATAAATAAATTTACGCCAGGCAGAAGACTATAAAATCTATTATCAAGCACTGGCCACACAGGTCATTTAAAGGGGCCAGTGAGGTTTTCTTTCTGGTTCTAAGAACCATTGCCATGGCTAAATTTATACCAGGCAGAAAGCTATAAAATCTATTACCAAGCACTGGCCACACACTGTCATTTAATAGGGCCAGTAAGGTTTTCATTCTGGTTCTAGGAACCACTGCCATGGCTGAATTTACACCAGGCAGAAATCTATAAAATCTTTCATCAATCACTGGCCACACACTGGTCATTTAAAGGGGCCAGTGAGGTTTTCTTTCTGGTTCTAAGAACCATTGCCATGGCTAAATTTATACCAGGCAGAAAGCTATAAAATCTATTACCAAGCACTGGCCACACACTGGTCATTTAAAGGGCTGTTGAGGTTTTCTTTCTGGTTCTAAGAACCATTGCCATGGCTAAATTTACACCAGGCAGAAAACTATAAAATCTATTATAAATCACCGGTACACCTAGCATTAAAAAGGGCCATTGATATGTTTTCTAGTTCTAAGAACCAACATCATGCCTAAATTAAGCCAGCCAAGAAATCTACTCAGAGTTTCAATGGCCACATCTAGAGCCACACAGATTTATTTTCCAGTTTGAGGACCTAATGTCTCACCCTAGCAAAAAAAATCTAGTTATTAATTTATTGAGATGGCAATACTTCATAACAAAGTTCGACACCGGATTTACTTTTGGTTCTAAGAGATCTGGCTGCTACTGACATTATTTCTCAGGGTAGAAAAGTGGGAGGGAAGCGATCCGAAAGGATTCTCTTCCAGTTTGAGACTCAGCTGGAGATCCTCACGCACTGGAGGAAGCTTGTAGTTGAGCGCTGTTGTCTCCTCCAGGGTGATTCTCCCTGGCTGCTCACTCAGGGTCGCCCAGGGCGACCCCAGAGTCTTCCAGTGGGGGTCTCACAGAGTGTCTGCTCAGGGACTGAACGAGCCTGGGGGCCGGCAGAAGGCCTTCTCACTCAGTGTGAGTGTCACAGAACGTAACTCAGGGACTGGAAGACTCCCATCAGGAGCGGAATGGGATGTTTAGGCATGGACCCTTGGCCTTGCCTCTGTCACCCCGCCACTCGCCTCAGCCCATTTATAGGCAGCTTTCTTCCTCCCACAGCCACTTACCACGACCAATGGGCCCTTGGCCCTCGGCCTTCAGCCCACCAATTCACTCGGCACTCTTTGTCCCGGGCCTTGGGCTGCAGGGATAAGTAGCCCTCAGCCAATCGGGTGGCAGGCAGAAGCCATGGTGCTGCGGGGGCAGCGTGTGATGAGTGATCACAGGGCCTGTGGGCTGCGGCTGCTCCACGAGATTTGGGCCCTTGCAGCTCTATCACCAGGACCAGAGGGAGGGGGAGTGGTGGCAGGAGTCACAGCCGCTGGGGCCACTGGGGGGGGGGCAATCAGGTGAGAGTGTGTTGGGGAGACCAGGGATGGAGGGACGGGTGCCTCAAGGGGGTTTCACAAAGACAGCTTGGCTCACAACTCAAACGGAAGAGGGGAGCAGGAGCAAGGCTGGTGGGGGGGCGATGGGCTGGGGCCACGCACAGAGGCTGTTGCCCGCGCTTCCCTCCCATGACGCTCGCAGTTCCAGCAGCCCCCCAGCCTTCACTGTTCACTGTGTTTCCCTCCCATAAAGCTCGCAGTTCAAGCAGCCCCCCAGCCCTTGCCATTTGCCCGCGCTTCCCTCCCACGCGCTCACAGTCCAGCAGCCCCCCAGCCTTTGCCATTTGCCCACGCTTCCCTCCCACGATGCTCAGTCCCAGCAGCCCCCAGCCCTTGCCGTTCACTGCGCTTCCCACCCATGGCACTCGCAGTTCCAGCAGCCCCCCAGCACTTGTCATTTGCCCACACTTCCGTCCCACAACGCCCGCAGTCCCAGCAGCCCCCCAGCCCTTGCCATTTGCCCGTGCTTCCCTCCCACGACGCTCAGTCCCAGCAGCCCCCCAGCCCTTGCCGTTCGCTACGCTTCCCCCCCCACGGCGCTCGCAGTTCCAGCAGCCCCCTAGCACTTGTCATTTGCCCACACTTCCGTCCCACAACAGCAGTCCCAGCCGCTCCCAGCCCTTGCCGTTCGCTGCGCTTCCCACCCACGGCGCTCGCAGTTCCAGCAGCCCCCCAGCACTTGTCATTTGCCCACACTTCCGTCCCACGATACCCAAAGTCCCAGCAGCCCCCCAGCCCTTGTCTTTTGCCCGTGCTTCCCTCCCACGACGCTCACAGTCCCAGCAGCCTCCCAGCCCTTGCCGTTCGCTGCGCTTCCCACCCATGGCGCTCGCAGTTCCAGCAGCCCCACAGCGCTTGTCATTTGCCCACACTTCCGTCCCACAACGCCCGCAGTCCCAGCAGCCCCCCCAGCCCTTGTCATTTGCCCATGCTTCCCTCCCACGACGCTCACAGTCCCAGCAGTCCCCCCAGCCCTTGCAGTTCGCTGCGCTTCTCTCCCACAATGCTCGCAGTTCCATCATCCCCCCAGCCCTTGTCGTTCACCATTTTTCCCTCCCAGCGGCCTTGCCCCTCCTCCCCTCTTTTGTTTGAGTTGTGAGCCAAGCTGTCTTTGTGAAGCCCCTTTGAGGGGCCTGCCCCTCCTTCCCTGGTCCCCCAACACACTCTCGCCTGACTGCCCCCCCCCCAGTGGCCCCAGAGGCTGTGACTCCTGCCATCACTCCCCCTCCCTCCGGTCCTAGTGATAGAGCTGCAAGGGCCCAAATCTCGTGGAGCAGCCGCAGCCCACAGGCCCTGTGATCACTCGTCACACGCTGCCCCCACAGCACCATGGCTTCTGCATGCCACCCGATTGGCTGAGGGCTACTTACCCCTGCAGCCAAAGGCCCGGGACAAAGAGTGTCAGGTGAATTGGAGGGCCAAAGGGCAGAGGGCCAAGGGCCCATTGATTGTGGTGACTGGCTGGGGGAGGGCAACGTGGAATGAGGAATAATGCATCTCTTTTGACTCACATGTTTCACAGACTGCACTGAGAATGATCAGCACTGGTCATGTGTAAAATCTGATGTTATCTACAAAAGGCAACAGATAGCATTAAAAAGTGCAGTGTGATGTGTTAGTGAAACTCTCTTAGAGTTTCAGGGATTCTTCTAAAAGTCAGTGGTGATTGATTTGGTGAAGTAGCATTCTTGATGGAGATCATATCCATTCTTGGGTTCCATTCCTTCTTCTTCCATCAACACTGCAGGCTGACAACGGAGTCTTCTGTCTTCTAAGGTGGTGTAGAATACATGCCTTTGAGATTAAAAAACCCGTAACATTACATCAGATGCCATTGGAGTTTTATTCCTAAGAATGCACAATACACAGAGGTTATGCTTACCTCAGACACAGGTGTTATACTTACTTATCTAGGCATAAGGGATCATCAACTAGTGGAAGACTATCCATCTCCCTCCATATCCTAAAACTTTGAAGAATACAAGACTCAGCTAAACTTACCTCACAGCGTAGGAGGAAAAATCATAGCCAAAGGCTAACAGGGCTTGAGCTGGAGACATTTTCTTGCTCTCTGTTTCTTCTTTCTTCGTTTGCTTTTGTTTCTTCCTCAGTCATGCCCAGCAAGCGTTGTCTCTTTCGAGGAACTTTTGACAGCAGGTGTGCAATTCTTCCTCCGCTCAATCTCAAAAACTCAAAAACTATAAAACCTTCTATAGATCAATGGCCACATCTAGCATTAAAAAGGCCAATGAGGTTTTCTTTCTGGTTCTAAGAACCCTTGCCGTGGCTAAATTTACGCCAGGCAGAAAATTATAAAACCTATAATCCATCAACAGCCATGCCTAGGATTAAAAATGGCCATTGAAGTAGTTTTTTTGGTTCTAATAACCATCGCCATGGCTGAATTTACAGCAGGCAGAAAACTATAAAACCTATTACCAAGCACTGGCCACACACTGTCATTTAAAGGGGCCAGTAAGGTTTTCTTTCTGGTTATAAGAACCATTGCCATGGCTAGAATTATGCCAGGCAGAAAACTATAAAATCTATGATTAATCACTGGCCACGTTGCTCATTTAAATGGGCCACTGAGAGGTTTTCTTTCTGGTTCTAAGAACCACTGCCATGGCTAAATTTACACCAGGCAGAAAACTATAAAATCTATTACCAAGCACTGGCCACACACTGTCATTTAAAAGGGCCAGTGAGGTTTTCATTCTGGTTCTAAAAACCACTGCCATGGCTGAATTTATACCAGGCAGAAAACTATAGAATCTATAATCCATCAACAGCCATGCCTAGAATTAAAAATGGCCATTGAAGTAGGTTTTTTTGGTTCTAATAACCATCACCATGGCTGAATTTACAGCAGGCAAGAATGGTTAAAATCTATCATCTAATGGTCAGCTGTGATTGACTTGGTGAAGTAGCATTCTTGATGGAGATCCTATTCATTCTTGCGTTCCATTCCTCCTTCTTCCTTCCACGCTGCAGGCTGACAACTGAATCTTCTGTCTTCTGAGGTAGTGTGAAGTAAATGCCTTTGTGATAAAAAAAAAAAGCCCAAACATTACTTCAGCTGCCATTGGAGTTTTACTCCTAAGAATGCACAGTACGCAGTGCTTTCTATTACCCCAGTTGCAGGTGTTACTTACCTAGGAAGGACTATCAAGTATGGAGGACCATCTATCTCCCTCCATATCCTAAAACTTTGAAGAATACAAGACTCAGCTAAACTTACCTCACAGCGTAGGAGGCAACATCACAGCCGAAGGCTAACAGGGCTTGAGCTGGAGACATTTTCTTGCTCTTTTGTTTCTTCTTTTGCTTTTTTTTTCTTCTTCTGCCATGCCCAGCAAGTCTTCTCTCTTTCGTGGAAACCTTGGCAGCAGGTGTGCAATTGTTCCTCCTTTCAATCTCAAAGACTCAAAAACTATAAAATGTTCTACAAATCAACGGCCACATCTAGCAATAAAAAGGGCCAATGAGGTTTTCTTTCTGGTTGTAGGAACCACTGCCATGGCTGAATTTACACGAGGTAGAAATCTATAAAATCTATTATCACGTACTGGCCACACACTGTTCATTTAATGGGGCCAATGAGGTTTTCTTTCTGGTTCTATGAACCACTGCCACGGCTAAATTTACGCCAGGCAGAAAACTATAAAACCTATAATCCATCAACAGCCATACCTAGCATTAAAAATGGCCATTGAAGAGGGTTTTTTGGTTCTAATAACCATTGCCACGGCTAAATTTACAGCAGGCAGAAAGCTGTAAAATCTATTACCAAGCACTGGCAACACACTGGTCATTTAATGGGGCCAATGAGGTGAGGTTTTTTTTCTGGTTCTAGGAACCATTGCCATGGCTAAATTTACGCCAGGCAGAAAACTATAAAACCTATTACCAAGCACTGGCCACACACTGTCATTTAAAAGGGCCAGTGAGGTTTTCTTTCTGGTTCTAAGAACCACTGCCATGGCTAAATTTACACCAGGCAGAAAACTATACAATCTATAATCCATCAACCGTCATGCCTAGGATTAAAAATGGCCATTGAAGTAGTTTTTTTGATTCTAATAACCATCGCCATGGCTGAATTTACAGCAGGCAAGAATGGTTAAAATCTATCATCTAATGGTCAGCTGTGATTGGCTTGGTGAAGTAGCATTCTTGATGGAGATCATATTCATTCTTGTGTTCCGTTCCTCCTTCTTCCTTCCACGTTGCAGGCTGACAACTGAGTCTTCTGTCTTCTAAGGTGGTGTGAAGTAAATGCCTTTGTGATAAAAAAAAAAAGCCCTAACATTACTTCAGCTGCCATTGGAGTTTTACTCCTAAGAATGCACAGTAAGCAGTGCTTTCTATTACCACAGTTGCAGGTGTTACTTACCTAGGAAGGACTATCAAGTATGGAGGACCATCTATTTCCCTCCATATCCTAAAACTTGAAAGAATACAAGACTCAGCTAAACTTACCTCACAGCGTAGGAGGCAGCATCACAGCCGAAGGCTAACAGGGCTTGAGCTGGAGACATTTTCTTGCTCTCTGATTCTTCTTTCTTCTTTTGCTTTTGTTTCTTCCTCAGCAAGCGCTGCCTCTTTTGAGGAAGTTTTGACAGCAGGTGTGCAATTCTTCCTCCGGTCAGTCTGCAAAGTTAGAAAAACCCCTATCCTCTTTTATTGATCAACAGCCACAGCTAACATTAAAAAGGGCCAATGAGGTTTTCTTTCTGGTTATAAGAACCATTGCCATGGCTGAATTTATACCAGGCAGAAAGCTATAAAATCTTTTATCAATCATTGCCACACACTGGTCATTTAATGGGGCCAGTGAGGTTTTCTTTCTGGTTCTAAGAACCACTGCCATGGCTAAATTTACACCAGGCAGAAAACTATAAAATCTATTACCAAGCAGTGGCCACACACTGTCATTTAAAAGGGCCAGTGAGGTTTTCTTTCTGGTTGTAGGAACCATTGCCATGGCTGAATTTATACCAGGCAGAAAACTATAAAATCTATAATCCATCAACAGCCATGCCTAGAATTAAAAATGGCCATTGAGGAGGGTTTTTTGGTTCTAATAACCATTGCCACGGCTAAATTTACAGCAGGGAGAAAGCTGTAAAATCTATTACCAAGCACTGGCCACACACTGGTCATTTAATGGGGCCAATGAGGTTTTCTTTCTGGTTCTAAGAACCATCGCCATGGCTAAATTTACGCCAGGCAGAAGACTATAAAACCTATTACCAAGCATTGGCCACACAGTGGTCATTTAAAAGGGCTGTTGAGGTTTTCTTTCTGGTTCTAAGAACCACTACCATGGCTAAATTTACACCAGGCAGAAAACTATACAATCTATAATCCATCAACAGCCATGCCTAGAATTAAAAATGGCCATTGAAGTGGGTTTTTTGGTTCTAATAACCATCGCCATGGCTCAATTTACAGCAGGCAAGAATGGTTTAAATCTATTATCTAATGGTCAGCTGTGATTCTTGGTGAAGTAGCATTCTTGATGGAGATCATATTCATTCTTGAGTTCCATTCCTTCTTCCATCAAAACCGCAGGCTGACAACTGAGTCTTCTGTTTTCTAAGGTGGTGTGAAGTAAATGCCTTTGTGATAAAAAAAAAGCCCTAACATTACTTCAGCTGCCATTGGAGTTTTACTCCTAAGAATGCACAGTACGCAGTGCTTTCTATTACCTCAGTTGCAGGTGTTACTTACTTAGGAAGGACCATCAAGTATGGAGGACCATCAATCTCCCTCCATATCCCAAAACGTGGAAGAATACAAGACTCAGCTAAACTTACCTTACAGCGTAGGAGCAACATCACAGCCGAAGGCTAACAGGGCTTGAGCTAGAGACATTTTCTTGCTCTTTTGTTTCTTCTTTTGCTTTTTTTTTCTTCTTCTGCCATGCCCAGCAAGTCTTCTCTCTTTCGTGGAAACCTTGGCAGCAGGTGTGCAATTGTTCCTCCTTTCAATCTCAAAGACTCAAAAACTATAAAATGTTCTACAAATCAACGGCCACATCTAGCAATAAAAAGGGCCAATGAGGTTTTCTTTCTGGTTCTAGGAACCATTGCCATGGCTAAATTTATACCAGGCAGAAATCTATAAAATCTTTCATCAATCACTGGCCATACACTGGTCATTTAAAGGGGCCAATGAGGTTTTCTTTCTGGTTCTAGGAACCATTGCCATGGCTAAATTTATACCAGGCATAAAGCTATAAAATCTATTACCAAGCACTGGCCACACACTGTCATTTAATAGGGCCAGTAAGGTTTTCATTCTGGTTGTAAGAACCACTGCCATGGCTAAATTTACACCAGGCAGAAAACTATACAATCTATAATCTATCAACAGCCATGCCTAGGATTAAAAATGGCCATTGAAGTAGTTTTTTTGGTTCTAATAACCATCGCCATGGCTGAATTTACAGCAGGCAAGAATCGTTGAAATCTATTATCTAATGGTCAGCTGTAATTGACTTGGTGAAGTAGCATTCTTGATGGAGATCATATTCATTCTTGTGTTCCATTCCTCCTTCTTCCTTCCACGCTGCAGGCTGACAACTGAATCTTCTGTCTTCTAAGGTGGTGTAGAATACATGCCCTTGAGATAGAAAAACCCTAACATTACCTCAGTTGCCATTGGAGTTTTACTCCTAAGAATGCACAGTACGCAGTGCTTTCTATTACCTCAGTTGCATGTGTTACTTACTTAGGAAGGACTATCAAGTAGTGGAAGACCACCTCCCTCCCTCCCTCCATATCCTAAAACTTTGAAGAATACAAGACTCCGCTAAACTTACCTCACAGCGTAGGAGGCCACATCACATCCGAAGGCTAACAGGGCTTGAGCTGGAGACATTTTCTTGCTCTCTGTCTTTTCTTTCTTCTTTTGCTTTTGTTTCTTCCTCAGTAAGCGTTGTGTCTTTCGAAGAAGTTTTGACCGCAGGTGCAATTCTTCCTCCGCTCAGTCTGCAAAGCTAGAAAAACTCCTACCCTCTTTTATAGATCAACAGCCACAGCTAACATTAAAAAGGGCCATTGAGGTTTGCTTTCTGGGTCTAAGAACCATCGCTATGGCAAGAAAACAATACCGCAATCAAGGAACGGTCAAAGAAGCTAACAACAAATAGCACAACAAAGGACTTCCAAGATCATTTTCAACAACACTGAGAGAAGCCACTCAAACATAAACTGACAGCAAACCACACTCCGTTCTACTAGCACTGATATTCCCTAGTTGAGTAATAAAACATGTACAAGAAAACCACCAAGCTCAGAGAGCACCAAGGACGCCTCATTTGAACCGTGAGCCCCAAATATTCTCCTTTGTTGGTATTCGTCATATTAAATTGCACCATCACATTTCCTTTCGGTTATAAGAATTAAACCATCTGTCTTACTGTTGATGTCTTCTTCTTCGTCTACAGGTCAATTTGGATTCATGGCTTTGAAATAAAAAAATCAATATTACTTCAGCTGCCATTGGAGTTTTACTCCTAAAAATGCACAGTAGACAGTGGTTACTATTACCTCAGACATAGGTATTATCTTTATTTATCTAGGCATAAGGGGTCATCAACTAGTGGAGGACCATCAATCTCCCTCCATATCCCAAAACTTGGAAGAATACAAGACTCAGCTAAACTTACCTCACAGCATAGGAGGAAACATCACAGCTGAAGGCTAATAGGGCTTGAGCTGAAAACATTTTCTCCTTTCTCTTTTGTTTCTTCTTCTGCCTTGCCAGCAAGTCTTCTCTCTTTCGTGGAAACTTTGGCAGCAGGTGTGTAATTGTTCCTCCCCTCAATCTCAAAGACTCAAAAATTATAACATATTCTATAGGTCAACAGCCACATCTAGTATTAAAAAGGGCCATTGAGGTTTTCTTTCTGGTTCTAAGAACCACTGCCATGGCTAAAGTTACACCAGGCAGAAATCTGTAAACTCTATTACCAAGCACTGACCACACAGTGGTCATTTAAAGCAGCCGCTGAGGTTTTCTTTCTGGTTCTAAGAACCATTGCCATGGCTAAATTTACACCAGGCAGAAAGCTATAAAATGTATTATCAAGCACTGGCCACACACCGGTCATTTAATGGGGCCAATGAGGTTTTCTTTCTGGTTCTATGAACCACTGCCACGGCTAAATTTACGCCAGGCAGAAAACTATAAAACCTATAATCCATCAACAGCCATACCTAGCATTAAAAAAGGCCATTGAAGAGGGTTTTTTGGTTCTAATAACCAATGCCATGGCTAAATTTACACCAGGCAGAAAACTATAAAACCTAGTACCAAGCACTGGCCACACACTGTCATTTAAAAGGGCCAGTGAGGTTTTCTTTCTGGTTCTAAGAACCACTGCCAGGGCTAAATTTACACCAGGCAGAAAACTATACAATCTATAATCTATCAACAGCCATGCCTAGGATTAAAAATGGCCATTGAAGTAGTTTTTTTGGTTCTAATAACCATCGCCATGGCTGAATTTACAGCAGGCAAGAATGGTTAAAATCTATCATCTAATGGTCAGCTGTGATTGACTTGGTGAAGTAGCATTCTTGATGGAGATCATATTCATTCTTGCGTTCCATTCCTCCTTCTTCCTTCCACGCTGCAGGCTGACAACTGAGTCTTCTGTCTTCTAAGGTGGTGCGAAGTAAATGTCTTTGTGATAAAAAAAAAAAAAAGCCTTAACATTACTTCAGCTGCCTTTGGAGTTTTACTCCTAAGAATGCACAGTACGCAGTGCTTTCTGTTACCCCAGTTGCAGGTGTTACTTACCTAGGAAGGACTATCAAGTAGTGGAAGGCCACCTCCCTCCCTCCCTCCATATCCTAAAACTTTGAAGAATACAAGACTCAGCTAAACTTACCTCACAGCGTAGGAGGCCACATCACAGCCGAAGGCTAACAGGGCTTGAGCTGGAGACATTTTCATGATTTTCTCTTTCTTCTTTCTTCTTTTGCTTTTGTTTCTTCCTCAGCAAGCGTTGTCTCTTTCGAGGAACTTTTGACAGCAGGTGTGCAATTCTTCCTCCGCTCAGTCTGCAAAGTTAGAAAAACCCCTACCCTCTTTTGTAGATCAACAGCCACAGCTAACATTAAAAAGGGCTGTTTAGTTTTGCTTTCTGGGTATAAGAACCATCGCCATGGCTAAATTTACGCCAGGCAGAAGACTATAAAATCTATTATCAACCACTGGCCACACAGGTCATTTAAAAGGGCCGTTGAGGTTTTCTTTCAGGTTCTATGAACCACTGCCATGGCTAAATTTACGCCAGGCAGAAAACTCTAAAACCTATAATCCATCAACAGCCATACCTAGGATTAAAAATGGCCACTGAGGAGGGTTTTTTGGTTCTAATAACCATTGCCACGGCTAAATTTACAGCAGGGAGAAAGCTGTAAAATCTATTACCAAGCACTGGCCACACACTGGTCATTTAATGGGGCCAATGAGGTTTTCTTTCTGGTTCTAGGAACCATTGCCATGGCTAAATTTACGCCAGGCAGAAGACTATAAAATCTATTATCAAGCACTGGCCAAACAGGTCATTTAAAAGGGCCGCTGAGGTTTCCTTTCTGGTTGTAAGAACCATCACCATGGCTAAATTTACGCCAGGCAGAAAGTTATAAATTCTATTGCCAAGCACTGGCCACACACTGGTCATTTAAATGGGCCACTGAGGTTTCCTTTCTGATTCTAAGAACCATCACCATGGCTAAAATTATGCTAGGGAATAAAGGTATGAAATCTAATATCAATCATAATACCAGGTATCAGCCAGAATATATAATGAAAACTCTTCAGTTTCACAACAAATTCAAAGACCTAACCATAGTTCCAGTTGGGAAACTGACTATCCTAGACCAGGGTAGGCTGGCCCAGGAATTTTGGGAGTTGAAGTCCACAAGTCATAAAAGAGTCAAGGTTACCTATCCCTGTCCTAGACCAAGCAATGTCGAAAAACACTAACACATTTCTAGGAGCCTGTCACTCTAACAAATTAGCCATCAATAGACAGACAAAAAAATATGTACCCACTTTGCAAAAAAGACAACACCTCCTCACCAGCAATCCACATTGAGATATGCATAGATTAACACTATGATTAACATCAGACCAACAATCAAGAAGTAAACAATGTCCTAATCAAGGAACTGCCAAAGAAGCTAATAAAAAATAGCGCAACAAAGAACCTCCAAGGCCATTTTTTAAAAAACTGCTAAAGCACGCATTAGGGCAGTGATGGCGAACCTTTTAGATCTTTTAGAGTGTCCAAAAACTGCCCTGCCCCCGCTCCCACCCGCCCGCCTCCTCGTCCCGCTCTGCCATCCCGCAGGGCCACCTACCGCCTCCATGGCCTGTCGCAGATCTCCCAGGCGGCCCTGCAGTGCCATGGCAGCCACACCTTCTGCCTGTGCCCCACAGCATCATCTGCATGCAACAGGGTGCAAGGGCGGAGTCTTGTCCCCACTGCCCGGCTGCCAGGTCCTTGGCTGGGCTGCTGCGTGCGGGCCACGCCCAGGGGTGATTCTCCTCCAGGGGTCTGCTGGAGAGGAGGCGGCTGTGGGGGGAAGCGGGGCTGGGGTGATGGCGTGCGTGCCCATAGAGAGGGCTCAGAGTGCCACCTCTGGCACACGTGCCATAGGTTCACCACCACTGCCTTAGGGTAAACTTCAGTAAGGCCCAAAGTTAACATGTTGCAAACAGTACTTGCCATGCTTCCTCACTTTCATGATATACCGAAAAGTGAATTAAACCGTCTGTCTTACTATTGATGTCTTCTTCTTCGTCTATATGGATTCATGCCTTTGAAATAAAAAAAATCAACATCACCAAATGACCAACTTATGTTCAGAGACTAGAAAAGCAATCAATCAAAGGGGATTTTTGTGTTTTATCCTATGAGTGAAAGAAGACAATATACAGTGAATTGGAGCATTGACCTATTGAGAATTCCTCAGACCATGCAACTAGTTATCTTTTACATGTTTTGCTTCTTTTAGGGACTCGAGCCCTGACTAAAATTTCCTCAGGTCCCAAGAGTTGACTTGGGAGAAAGTAAGGACAACTCCAGGTACTGAAGAAATTTCCTGAGAGTTAAGCCAGGTCCTGGGCCTGAAGTAATTTTAGTTAACTTTCACCTCTACTTACTTTTTAGCCTGCAAGGACATGGCTAAGATTACCTCAGACTTTACCCAAGCTAATTTTAACTCTTATTCCCTGTGATGTTTGGTCCTTAAAAGGACATGGCTGAGATTATCTCAGGTTCTACCAACATTTTACTCTAAGAACTTGAGCCTTGGCTAAAATTACCTCAGGCTTCCAGAATTGACTTTATTTCAAGAAAATAAATCCAATTCCCTGACCTGAAGAAATTTTAGTTACCTTTTTTGTTTAGTTACTTGAAGTAGCTAGTCCTCTACATAGTTTGCTTCTTTTAAGGACTTGAGCCAATTAAAGTTACCTCAGGTCCCAAGAAATCACTTTATTCCTGAGAGCAAGGTCAGCTCCTGAGTAATTGTATCTTTATCTTTAAAACTATTTTTAATTCTGACTTGCCTATGGTGGTTTGGTCCTTCTAAAAGGACATGGCTGAGATTTCCTCAGATTCACCAATATTTTAAAATGTGTGCCTTGGCTAAAATGACCTCAACATTACTTCAGGAGCTGACTTTATTTCAAGAAAGTACGATCAACTTCAGGACCTGAAGTAATTTTAGTTAACTTTTGCCTTTAGTTACTTGAAGCCACTAGTCCGCTACATGTTTTTCTTCTTTTAAGGATTTGAGCCTTGACTAAAACTTCCTCAGGTCCCAAGAGCTGATTTTATTCAAGAAAGGGCAACTCCAGGGACTGAAGCCATTTTGCCTTTAAGCTAATTTTAATGCTTCACCACCTGTGGCAGTTTAATTCTTTTAACTGCACCTGGCTAAAATTGCCTCAGCTTATTGCAAACACATGGCTATGATTACTTCAAATTTACTCCAAAGCTAATTTTAACCCTTATTTACCTGTGGTGGTTTGGTCCTTTTTAAAAGGACATGGCTGAGATTTCCTCAGGTTCCAACAACATTTTATTCTAAGAACTTGAAGTCCTAGCTAAAATTCCCTCTGGCTCCAAGAATTCACCTTATTCCTGAGAGAAAGATCTGCTCTTGAGGCAATTTTATCTTTAAAGCTAATTTTAACTCTGTGGTGGTTTGGTCCTTTTTTAAAAGGACATGGCTGAGACTACCTCAGGTTCCACCAAAATTTTATTCTAGGAACTTGAAATCCTCGCTAAAATTCTCTCAGGCTCCAAGAATTCACCTTATTCCTGAGAGAAAGGTCTGCTCTTGAGGCAATTTTATCTTTAAAGCTAATTTTAACTCTTATTCACCTAATTTTAGGTGAATAATTTTAGCTAATTTTAGCTAATTTTAACTCTTATTCAACTCTTGGTCCTTTTTTAAAAGGACATGGCTGAGATTTCCTCAGGTTCCACCAACATTTTATTCTAAGAACTTGAAGTCCTAGCTAAAATTCTCTCAGGCCCCAAGAATTCACCTTATTCCTGAAAGGAAGGTGTGCTCTTGAGGCAATTTTATCTTTAAAGCTAATTTTAACTCTTATTCACCTGTGGTGGTTTGGTCCTTTTTTTAAAAGGACATGGCTGAGACTACCACAGGTTCCACCACAATTTTAAGAACGTGAGCTTTGACTAGAATTACTTCAAGACACAGCGGTTTGCGTTATTCCCCGAGGGACAGACTGAGCTAAGTACCTTTAGTGACCTGTGGTATTGGCGTCCTTTGAATAAAACACCGTTATTACCTCAGCCACCCCTGGCGTTTTACTCCCAAGAATGCACGCCGCGCTTAAAATTACCACAGGTGCTATCTTGACACACACACACACACACCGAGAACAATAAGCTATTAATTCGCTAAAAAAAACTCGCGCTCCCCTCCGTATCTTAACAACGTAGAAAAGCCTCCGCTAGAATTACCTCAAAGCTCAAAAGGCCCTGCCCGGCCTCGAGCTCGAGGGCTTGGGCCGCGGGAGCGCCGGAGAGAGACATTTTTGCCCTCCGGCGCCCCGCAGCATCGACCCTTTCGGGGACCGAGA